TTCCTCGACCTCCATTTCAAATGAGATGGAAACCTGTATTGAAATGAAGAAAATGAAGACTGTGCATAGATGAGATGCAGGGATGTGTGGGTTGACAGATACCCAAATGAGCCTTTTCAGAGCCATACTTGGGTGAGATGTTGTATTTAGATAGCAGCCAAACAAAGGTACAGAGGATTCTTGTCTTCGTTGCAAAGATTTAAAACTTCGTGTTCTTGTTTGGTGCCTACCATCAGAACTTATCTCTCTCTTCTTTAATCTCTCTGCGAAGACACATGATTCAAGCATGTTTGGTAACGAGAATAGACGCTTTTTATGGGAATAGCTGAGAGCTGGGCTGTTTGGGTTTTATTCGCAAACCATAAATAAACATATTATATAGGGTGTAACCCGCCAGTGTCGAACCGGCGGGTGTCCCTATCGTTGTCCAAAAAAAAAAAAAATTGGAAGTTAGGCGTGTCATACCATTTTGAGAAGTACCTTTTTTTTTAATGGAATTTTGAGAAGGATATTGACCGCACCTTTGAACAAAATTAATTACATAATATCCCACGATGAATATGATAACCTCTATACTGTTTCCCTGAAGTTTTGTCAGCTTCAGCAACTTGGTTATGGAATTTCATGCCGTAATAATTCAAATCCCGTTTTTGATTTCTATATGTAAGAAAATCCATTTTATCACCTGTGGATTGCAACACGTCTGCCGCAGTGGGAACTCGGTGGCACATGAGCTTGCTAGGAGGGCGCTCCAAGCTGAGGATGGCCAGATTTGGATAAGTGTTGGTTCCTTAATTTATTGCACACCATGTACCAGGGGACAAACCAAATTAAATTGCATGTAATATCTCTATTTGTTTATTATTTGAATAATATGTGTACACAATTTATATATTAATAAAAAGATTTTTTTTTTTTATTTCTAAAGTTTATTTTTTGCTCAGTACTGGGTTGGTTAGGCGATGACATGGTACAATTTTTGTTGATAAATTTGTATTTATTAATTTTTAAATATTATGTGAAAATGAGAGGTAAATGTAAAATGCTTATACCAACAACCTGTTGATCCGAGTAGAAGGAATTCGGTTCTCCTTAAATAAGATCTTAAGTTTGAGTTTTATGAATGGAAAAATAGGTGTTGGAAGAGTTTGCCACTATATGGGGTCCAACCCGACTCGATTCCAAATTAATCAGGATCCAATGTGATTTTTGGATATCGAAATGTTAGTACAAAAAAAAATGTAAAATGCTTATGTGTCCCATTTAAAAAGGTTTTCTTCATCACTTAGCAAATGACTTGGACAAAATTTTTGGATATTGACTTTGTGCAGGAGTTTTCAAAAAATGGTAAGCTGGTTAAGGGGCTAAACTCTTCATTTATTGTTCTGGTTCCAAAGAAATCTAATCCTGTAGAATTAAAAGACTATAGACCTATCAGCTTGATTAGTAGCCTCTACAAAATTATATCAGAGGTCTTGGCAAATAGGATTAAGAAAGTTTTGCCCAAGGTGATAAGCGAAAGTTTTGCCCAAGGTGATAAGCGAAACACAATCTGCCTTTTTGGGAGGAAGACAAATTACTGATGGTATTTTGATATTGAATGAGGTAGTAGAGGAGATAAGGAGGAAAAAGGCTAGCAGTTTCATGTTTAAAGCAGATTTCAAGAAGGCATATGACTGTGAGAATTGGGGATTTTTAGATGAAATGATGATGAGGCTTGGCTTTGGTGAAAAATGGAGAATGTGGATAAAGGAGTGTTTGAAAACGGCTTCAATCTCAATTCTTGTTAATGGAAGCCCAACAGATGACTTCAAAATGGAGAGGGGAATTAGACAAGGTGACCCAATTGCTCCGTTTCTCTTCCTAATTGTCGCTGAAGGATTGAATATTTTGATAGAATCAGCCACTAGTAAGGGATTATTTCAAGGAATTGATGTAGGCCCCCATGGTCTTAACATTTCACACCTGCAATTTGTTGACGACACTGTTATTATGGGGAAGGCAAATACATCTAATATTAATGTTGTGAAAGGGATTTTGAGATGGTTTGAACTGATTTCGAGTCTAAAGATCAACTTCAACAAAAGTGTGCTGTATTCATTTTATGTTCCCGATGAATGGAGGAGAACAGCAGCTGCTATGCTGAATTGCAAATCAGGATCTCTCCCTTTCACCTATCTTGGGATGCCAGTTGGGGATGTTATGTGCAGAAGGAAAGCCTGGGTTCTAGTTATTGAGAATTTTAATAAAAAGCTAACAGTTTGGAAAGCGAAGTGCCTATCGATCAGTGGTCGAGTTACATTGCTAAGGTCTGTTCTCTCTGCCATCCCTATTTACTTTATGTCTATTTTTAAAATCCCCAAAATGGTATCACATGAATTAGTGCATTTACAAAGGAAATTTTTGTGGGGATAGACGGGGGAGAATAGTAAGCTAGCATGGTTGAGCTGGGAGAAAGTATGTCGAGGTAGAAGTGAGGGAGGTCTAGGTGTGCCAGATATTGAGAATAGGAATATAGCCTTATTAGGGAAGTGGTAGGACAAATTTGGGAAGGAAGAAAATAGTCTATGGAAGAAAGTTATTGTTGATAAGTATTATGGTGGTGGCATGGAGTGGGTTATTGAACATACACAAGCTAGGAATGTATCTACTTTGTGGAGAAATATAGTGGCACTAGGCACAGAGGGGGGTAAGGGGTCTTGGGTGTTTAGAAATGGGTTCTGTTGGAAGTTGGGAATGGGAGATAAAATTAAATTCTGGAGGGGCAAGTGGGTAGGAACTGAACCTCTTAGTGTAACCTTTCCTAGACTCTTTAATTTGGCACCTAATAAGAATGTAACTATTATGGAAATGGGACACTACTCTAATGGATCTTGGAGTTTGGAACATATTTGGAGACGT